ATGCACAAAATGGCGGCGCAATGGTCTACTTGTGAAATCCATTTTTTCTGTTTTTTCAAATCGGTGTACAGGATTTCAGGCACACGGTTTGCTCTTCAATAAAGTACAAAGAATTTTCATTATCTACATATTAAAGACTAGAGATGTACGTAGGGATTTTTTTAAATATTGATTTGTCTCAAAATGGCAGCTATTTTTACGAAAAGTTCGTATTTTTGTCAATACAAGCTTTTCGTAAAATAGCTGCCATTTTGAGAAAAATCAATATTTTGAAAATTCCTACGTACGTCTCTAGTTTTTATGTCAATAATGAAAATTTTTTATGTTTTGTTCAAGGCCAAACCGTGTGCCCGAAATCCTACACCGATAGAAAAAAAAAGGATTCCGCAAGTGTAGGCCAGTGCGCCACCATTTTGGACATAAGAAAATAAAAAATATTTTTTTAGTTTCTTATATATGTACAATAATGTCCTCTAAGCAGATTTTAAATAAAGTTGTCTATTTACCCACAAAAAAATCCCAAACTTAAGGTACCATTTTAAAACCTCAGAAGATGATGAGACTCCTTAAATAACAATAATAAATTAAGGTTTCTTTTATTAACAAAAATGCATTTTATATGGGGAGAGAATGAGAGGGGAGAGGAAATATTGTCTTTCTAAAAAATTATAATAAATCTTGTTTAGTGCACGGAAAGAACGATTTTAATGAAAGATTTAAAAATTTTGTTAAAAACAGATCTGAAAATAATTTTTTGTTGAATTATCAAAATAATTTATTGGAATGTTAAAACTGATAAGCATTGCTATAAAACATTTTTATATTCTAACAATCATTTTGACTTTTGCACAAAATTATTTTGATTATTGAAACGAAAATTAATTTGATTATTGAAACGAAAATTATGTTCAGATCTGGATTCAACAAAATTATTCTTTCCGTGTGTAAATGGAATTTCGATTAATTAATTGTATTTATTTGTTAAGAATTAATGTGTACTTAATTTTATTAGTAAATAGTTTTTAAGAAATTGCGTGTTTGAAGAAATTCATTCGAAGTCCGAAGATACTAGAAGTAAGCAATACTTAAAGGAAGGATATACTTAAAGGAACAGCACTTAAGTTTATAAACGTGGTGATCAATTCGCGAGACTTCTGAAATAACTTGGCCCGTCGCTTTATGGAATTCGTATTATTAAAGAAAGCGCCTTCGGACATCGTTTTTTGCAAAGTCACTTTGATAAGGGCAATATCACTTGCGCGCCGCCGCCGCCGCCGCGCCGTGGAGAAACACAGACTGTGAGTTTTCCGCTTCGCCGTGTATTCTTTCCAATAAATTGTCCGCTATACTTGCGAGAGCCGCGTGTGTCCGCGTGATCGAATACGCGAAAGGAAAGTTTCGCACAAATTGCGCGCTCGAGAACGATCTTCAAAAGGATTCTGCCGCGCTTCCTTCTGTCTCTCCCCATTATTTCCTGTTTCGAAGAGATAAACTCGGTTACCTGATATATACGTTGTTCAATATCGCTTCTCGCTCGCGTATTTTTCTCGATTCCGTCCAAGTTGGAAATGTAGACCTGTAACAACTTTTAAATCAATCCCGAAGCTTTATCAAAGTTTATTGTGGACTTCATCAAATAATCCCATCGATAGAATTTACACTACCCGTCGCAGATCCCATTTAATGTTTAACTGGTTTGAAGTGTTAATAATTGAAATTGCGCTTGTGGCTTACTCTCCTCGCAAACAGTTCAACTGTAATTTCGATTAATCGTTATTTTCTTTAGCCGGCGGACATTCTTGTTAACTTGCAGCTCGAATATATATACATGTACATATATAGACGTCACTTGCCCGCGGGATGTATTTATGAAAATGTCGTCCGCTGCAGCGTGCAAATATAGCGTATCAAGCGGATTATGTCACTGCTAAAATTACCGCTGTCGGTTGGGCGATATCGCCGATAAATGTCCATCTGCTGCCATGATCATTTCGCTTGCCCATATAAGCGAACGATACGCAAATGTCAACATATTTCTGTTCATTTTACATCTATCTCCATAAGTCCACGCGTGTTTGGGTGAAACATTGAAAAGCTCTATTTTCATTACTCTAAAAATGCTTTATGCAAAATTCATCTTTTGCATTGTACCTATTTTTTTGAAACGCCATAAATAACAAGGGTCACGATTTTTTTGTTGCGTTGGGATATAACCAAACGCGAGTATGAATGGTGACAAATATAAAAATTTCATTCTGATTCATTTTTACTATGGCAATTACTATTTGCCTTTGTCGCAATGGTTGTGTTTGCCTGGCGTTTAAAAAGAAGAACCTCGTTGTTTCGATCGCAATTGTCCGTTGCTAGATGCCCGGACGCCGATAACGGGGGGGGAAACTTTCGAAGGGCGGAGATCGGCGCCCCATCGATCCTCGCGATTCTACAAAAACGTCAAAGAGATCGCCGGTTTGATGATGAACGATTGTAGGTTGCTCGATGGAACGGCGCGGCGGCGACCCCGGTGGTCTTTAAAATATTCAAGCGAGAGTGTGTTTGACGGCCAATCGGAAAGGACGAAAAGTCGCGCTGGACGCTGGGACTCGCTCTTTCGAATTCGGCTCTTTCATCCCCATGGAACTCACTCCCCCCCCCCCCA